ACGAATATTAGCTATTTTCCACACACTTTAGAAAACTAGATAATTGATCTGACCATAGTGATAGAACATCTTATGAAATTAGGTTATTAGTCCATCCATTGATCATCCGATCCCTATCATAATGAACAACAGAATCATACACTCCGTTTTAATCATGATACAGACGCTTTGTGAACTCTGCTCAAACCATCAGTCAAAAAAATTATAAAAACAGTTACAGAGAATAGTAATAAAAAACATGCAACAGAAAAAAAATAATTCAATAAACTTGAACGTTCAATTTACTAATTTGTTTATTGTACTACACGTTTTTTTATTAGTATTTTTCAACTGTTTTTATAATTTTGTTCTGATAGATAATATGAAGAGAGTTCATGAAACGTCTCTAATATGATAAAAAAGATGTTTATGATCTCTTATTCATTATGAAATATTTTCACCGATTGCCGTTAAAACGAAAGTCTCTTTTAATATATAGTATCAAATTGTAGCTTGAGTTTGAAGTAATCAATAATACCTATCACAACTAAGTAGTCTTCGGTAACATTGAGTTTTGATGTTTTTTTTATAGATAAATTTATTCTTGTTTTTACCTAATAAATCTTCTGTATTTGTGTTATAGGTAAATGGAGTGCTGAGCACAATATTGTGGTTTATCCATTTACTCGCAACAATCTAACAGTTCGTACTCATAGTGCATATCTCGATGCAGCAAAAGAAGCACAAAAAAAGTCAACTCATGGCAAAGTCGTTCCAGTTGATGGCATCAAAGGCCTTTCTACTTTACTACAGGTCTGCAAAATTCTGATTCATTTTTTTAGATTTTTGAACGTAGAAGGAAGTTGAATCATAAGGAGGCAAATATGACGTGCAATATCATTTGAAAGTTCAGATTACCAATGATTTAAGTTGAGCATCACAATTATAAATACATAATAAATTGAAAATCGTAGAAAGAAATGAATGTTCAAGTTCTTTTCATTCAGTTCATAGTTTTTACTTCAAATAAGATTAAAAAATTGTTTATAATGAGGTCATGGATAAAAGATAATAAGCGAAGCACAAATGGATCCATATCTTGTCTTTTACATGTTCTTTTGAGTATCATTAGGGTTACACATTCTTACATCAATTTATATGCTGCTAAGTATCGTAACATAACTGTTGGTCTCCAAACAGTTTTTGTCGTGATATTGAGAGACTCACGACAATGACCATACATGATTTTAATGTATTTACATTTAATTTCTTAACTGATGAGAGTTCTAAAACAGTGTCGTAGGAGAGCAAGTACTGTAGGTTCTCTAAATGTTGCCCATGTCATAGTGAAAGTCACATCTTGATACCTTTTCGTGTTTCCGAAGTATTTAAAATTCGGCCAAGTTGAAAAAACTGTCTTGCATTAGAGCCATTAGTATCCAAAGTGTTATATGATATCAAATGACATTCTTACGATTCATAATGCAACTTTTTTTCTATTATATACTGTAGTTCATAATGTCAAATATTTATGCGCTTATCTAAGCTCCATCATTACACTAATTGCTGAGAAAGCCTTAAAGTATTGACATGAAATCGCCTCTGAAATTCTGATTACGAGAAAGAAAATTTGAAAGTTAAAAATAAATTTTATTTGAGATAGTAGGCTTACCTATCTAGAATGACTTTATTCGTCAATCCAAACAACTTTCAATTTTCTTCACTAATTCTACTTTTACTTTAGGTCTTCGAATATCCTTGTCAAATTGTATTTGACTACATGCACCTTATATGTCTGGATCATGTGCCGTGTGTTATCAAACGTTGGTGTCAAAATATTGATGAATCAATTGTACGTTTAATTGATGACTTAATCGGTCAGCTTCGTCTGCCACACAATCTGAACGTATCTTTTTTGGATTCGATCGTAAACGCCGGACAATGGAAGGCAAAAAATGGTCGTTTATTCGTATTGAATGTTGGAGTACCTATTGTTACGTTACATCTTCCAAGACTTTTAGTATCTCACTTCTTACTTTATTCTGTGGCGGTGAAAATTCTTCATGCTTCTGAATCCATCGATGAAATTAATTTGGGCGAACAAATTATGAATTATTACTGTAAAACTGCTCTTCTTCTACATGGTTCATCGGTGTAAATCTTCTCACTTCATGCTCATATTCACCTTGCACAACAAGTGAGACGTCACGGTGGACTTGGACTAGAGATCTGCGGGACAAACTTTTTCGTGTCCCGAATCCCGAATGTCCCGTCCCGAAAATTTTTGAATGATCCCGAATCCCGTTTGTCCTGTCCCGGAGTTTTTCAAAATGTTCCGGTCCCGAATGTCCCGTCCCGAATTATTTTTGAATTGTCCCGGAACATCCCGTTTGTCCCGTTGAACGAAAGAAATATAAAGATGTCGTTCTATTGAACAAGAAAATCAAGAAAATGAAGAAACAATTGACGAAGATGATAATGATGAACAGATTTGAATATATCTTGCAATATTTTTTGTGTTTTTTTTTTGTTATTTATTTAAATATTGAGACATTTCTTTAAAATAAAAATCTAACTGAACGAGATATTTTGCAACAGAAAAGAAAAATTCGGGACATTCGTTCTTTTCAAATTGTCCCGAGTCCCGTTTGTCCCGTCCCGAAAATTTTAGAATTGTCCCGGTCACGATTGTCCCGTCCCGAATGTCCCACGGGACGGGACATTCGGGATTTTTCGGGATTCGGGACTGTCCCGCAGACCTCTAACTTGGACATACCTCTGCTTTTGCCTTCGAGTCTTGTGTTCGTTTTATTGAGAGAAAAGCTCATGGTAGCAAACATCTTGGAGCACAGATTTCATACTGGATTGATTTTTCAAACAATGATGCAAAATGAACCTGTCAAGCCTCCAACACTGACAATCAATAATGTATATATACTGATTTTCCAGAATTTTTCACTTTTGTAAACAACATTTTAGGAAATCAAATGGTTGGATGGTCGTCTCTGCTCGTATCTGACTGTATTAATTGAACAGATGGCAATCAATTCATTAGAATTTCACTCATGTAATTTTTACTTACGCCTCAAAGCTTTCTTCGTAACATATCATACAATTATTTATGACCAATCCTTCAAATGTCAGAGTTATATTGTTTCATTTTTTGATTCTGCTTGTAACTTCGTACACTATGGCAATATTGTTGTTTTCGTGAAGAGAGGTTTGCATTTCTTTGCTCTTGTACAAAAGTATACGCTAAGTAAAAAATCTATCACAGATTATGTCGAGGTTCCATTTTCATTACACACGAAAGTAAATGAATTGTTTCCATTAATGCAGCTGTCTAACGAATTTCTTCTTATTTCTGTCGAAAAGATTAAACATAAGTGTGTGAATATTCCATTTGAAGGTTTTTGCTGCTTATTGGAAATACGAATCGATTACGAACATGACTAGTTACCAATTTCTGAAAAATTAATAACTTTTTATTATTGCTTTTTCTCTTTTTTATTATATTTTGTATGTTTTAGATCATCAAAACGCAACGGATTATAAAACTTAAACAAAGAACATTTTCGGATTTTCCAACGAAAATTAATGTTTATATCGAGCATTCAACAATTGACGATTATTACGTTGACGAAATATTCAAAGAAAAGCGCGCTGAATTTTGCATATATAAACTTAGAAGAAAAAGATCACATTCATACTTACACATGAAAAAATATTTCAGTTACAAAATAACAAGAAATCAAATCGTATAGTCATATTGTTATATGATAGTTTCTTCTCGTGTGGTAACTGCATCATCTTTTCATGTAATTATGAATGTGATCTTTTTTTTTAAGTCTATATATGGAAAATTTATCACGCTTTGCTTTGAACGTTTCACCACAATGATAATCGTCAATTGTTGAATGCTCGATATAAAGATTAAATTTTCGCAGGAAAATCAGAAAATGTTCTTTGCTAGATTTTAATAATAATTAGTTCTATCTTATTCAGTTGTAAATATATCATTTCCAATTTATATATTCTAGATTTATGTTGAATAGTCATGTGCACAGAAAATGTATATGCTAAATATTACTTAAATCGTCGAGCCAATGCTGAAGCTGAAGTATACAAACTTGTTTTATTTCCATCAGACAATTCAATTGCGGTCAATAAAGCACAACAGTGTTCTCCAGCAGAGCACGATGGTTTTTTTTTCGTACAAAGTGGAAAAAAAGATTCATGGGAGTCGTACTTGAAGAAGGTAAACAAGATTTCAAAATGAGATAAGTTTTTAAATAACTGATGATTTAAAGGATACAATAAAATCATTTTATGTAATTACTTTTAACACTAACCTAGTCATTCAACAATGGTCTTACTACCAGGTCATTGTAATAGGTCTTATTTTTACACTTAAGAAACTTTAAAATTGAAAACACATCTTAATAATTATAAGCATTGGTTTTTTATATCAATACACCTACATCTGTTGTTTACGATGGCAGACAGATAATTTGCTTTAATTTACACATCGATTGATTTATTTGTCTTTGTAGGATCTCTGCTGCAATGCAGTAAAGCTGCTGTTCAATTAACTAAAAAGACTGTCAATCCAGAAATTGAAAATGACTATGAACGAAACATCGATGAAAATCAATTGAAACAATATAATAGTAGGAGAACCATTAGTATTATTTTATTAATTACTTGTGCTATATTTTTGTATCACAGCAAGTACATCGGAAATATCTATTTTAAAAAGTATTGCATTTGAAGGCAAGCTCCTTGAAGTAAAAGATATTTTTATTTCATATTTGAATATTTTGTAGAACAAAATTTTAATATTCAGCGACATACAGCATCTACGATAACAATGTCTGCTAAACATTCAGATATATTCGATAGTTGTTATTAACAGATAAAGCAAATGTTATTTTTCTCGTAAGCAGATCATGTTAATAGTGTTCAATCATCAAGTAAGATTTTATGCAAGTTTTCCTCTGATGGATCTTTTTAAAGATAAAATGTGCTTCAATTTAGATGCGAACAATAATGATGATTTTTCAGCTGTACTGCCGCCGACAACAACACTAGGTGAATATTCTACATCAGCATCTCACATCGTACACAAATCGAACAAAAAGCATGATAAGTGTTTCAACCACAAACGATATAAACAATCTCAACATGAAACATCAGTCACGTTATTTGTACCATTTAACAATACAGACAGTGAATCTAAAGACAATGCAGACGAATCATCTGCTAATAGTCAACATCATGTTGATACTAATCAATTATTACAAGATCAAACACCTAAGTTTGCTGGTCATGAAGTAATAGAAAACAAGAAGTTAAAAAGTACATCAGCCAAATCGTCATCTTCATCTGATCAACAGCTAATGGCTTGCCTGAGTAAATTTGAATCTCAATATTTGGGACCTCTTCTTGTTGGACAAGAACGGATCGAAACGATGGTAAAAGGTTTATTTGCTAATCACAAGAAAATTCAAAACATCTTACGAAAACAAAAGGCAATTGATTACTTGTCCATTGATCCAGGATGTTACTTTACTTAATGTTTATTTTATAAACATAAATAAGTTCTAGATATTCATGACATAATGATAAAGAAATTCTTTATTTTTCAAAAAGTAAATATTAAGAAATAAGTACACGTTTATTATTTATATTATATAAATAAAACCTTTATATTTATAAAATAAAGATAAATGATTTCTTTATTTTTCAAAACAAAGATAAAATAAAAAATGAAGAAAGGTTGTTTTCTCTGTGTTAGTTAAATAGACAATTACTTAGGATAACAACATGATATGTCAATTGATATTCTTTGTTATCATCAATATCATTTCAAACGTGTGATATTAATGAAAACTCAAGCTGATGAAATTTTATTTATCTTTATTTTTTTAATATAACTATTTTGTTTATATTCATTTTTGTAAATAATAAAGATTTTTTTCTTTATGTCTATTTTCCAACATATAAAGAATATTTTGATCTTTACTTTACAAAAATAAAGATTCAATTTATACATATTCTTTATTGTATAGAAGTATAAAAATAAATAAACACATGCCAGTAATTATTACTATAATTTTGTGTTTTAGGTAAATAAATCATTACTAGATGTAGATGAAAATGAAGAATCGATCGACCATTCAAGCTTTCTAACTTCTTTGGTATGATGTTGCTGCTATAATAGATACAAAGAAAATGATCAATATCGAATTGTGTTAATTTAGGACTACAAATTAGCTGATGGTACTATTATTAATTTAATACAACGCAATGTTACTAAAAAACATGCTAATCGTTATGTACCATCTTTGATGGACCTACTTTATAAACTTGAAGAGATATCCGTTATGGAAGCAAAAGACTTACCAAAAGATGAAAGATACATGTTTTTAAAAGGTTTGTACACATTTCATTTTCATTTTTGCATCGGCAATAATAATGTTACTTTATTTGTATATTTCTATACAATAAAGAATATGTATAAATTGAATCTTTATTTTTGTAAAGTAAAGATCAAAATATTCTTTATCTGTTGGAAAAATAGACATAAAGAAAAAAATCTTTATTATTTACAAAAATGAATATAAACAAAATAGTTATATTAAAAAATAAAGATAAATAAAATTTCATCAGCTTGAGTTTTCATTAATATCACACGTTTGAAATGATATTGATGATAACAAAGAATATCAATTGACATATCATGTTGTTATCCTAAGTAATTGTCTACTTAACTAATACAGAGAAAACAACCTTTCTTCATTTTTTATTTTATCTTTATTTTGAAAAATAAAGAATTTTTTTATCATTATTTCATGAATATCTAGAATATATATTTTATAAAGTGAAAATAAATGAACAACTCTAATTAATAACTAATGTCTTTCAGAAGCTGTTCGAAATAAGTTTCGACTAACAAAATAAGAACATGAAACGATGTGGATTTGGTTGCATAATGTTATATTGGCTAAACGTCGAACTATCAATGGGAAAAGAAAGAGAAATGAATCGATTACTCAACATAACAATGGTTAATTTCTTATTTGCATTTGGTTCACAATGTTTATTTTTTTGTACAAATAGCACAAGCAAACGCTAGTTTACATTTATATGTGATCGAAGAATTTAGTTAGTTTGTATTTCTTTTATTTCGAAACTTTAATGAAAACGTAGTCAGTAAACTGTTTTGTTTCTCAATGTATATTTTTGATTTGATCATGTGTATAAATCATCCAGATTTTGTTTTGATTGTTTTATATAAAGTGTTTTCTCGAAAGCTTTGTATATTACATATTTATTTGAAAGCATATAATAAATAACAAAGAACAAGTGATACTCATGTAATTAGCTATTTTAGTCCAACGAACGCTCATCAATAGTAATGCATGATATCGAGAACTACGATGCAGTTGCGCATAATTGCGACTTATTTATCGCAGTTACGCGTAACTGTGTTGCAGTTTTTTGCAATTGCGGCGCAACTGCGTCGCAGTTTCATCGCAATCGAACACATTGGCAGTACTTGCCATTTTGTTTTTATATAATTATGCTTATAATGTGATACGTGACCTTCATTTCAATTTTTTTTATGGAGCTGATTCATCGTCTATAATATAAAACTGAGAATCTGTAAAATGATTTGCTTGTTAACTGTTTGATTCAGTCAGAGAATAATACACAGGAAAAAAAACAGACGTCTTTTGTCGGACAATGAGTAGTACCAATAATAATCCATCGTCGCGTACAATCACCGATGGTCGTACTCATTACAAAATAACAAGAACTATAACAGACTCCGATGGTAAAACACATACAGAAACTGTTGAAGTTGTTGACGATGATGCAGTCAATGTGAGTCAGTTTAATAACATAAACTGTTCTTATTCTTATATCTTATAATAGCTTATGCAAGATTTACGCTTACGTGATAATAACGTAACTGATATGACTCGATTTGGTTTTTCTTCATGGACAAATCCAACAAAAGTTTCTCAATCATCAACAACTGCTAAACGTCCAACAGTAGCTCAAGACAATAATGAATTTGTTCGAGAAGCATTACAAGTACATAATGAATTAAGACGAAAACATGGCGTTGAACCATTAAGATTAAATAATGATCTATCAAAATTAGCACAAGAATGGGGTAAATTATGAATTAACATTCTAGTCACATAGATTATTTATTGCATATTTGATTTTAGCTAATCATTTAGCTTCAACTGGAACACTTTTACATAGCAAAACAAAATATAAAAATGTACCTGTTGGTGAAAATCTTCGTAGTCAATCATGGCCAATAACAGGTTCATACTTTTTTCTATTTCATTTTTTTTTCTAAAAATAAATTCCTATCTAGGAAAAGAAATGACTGAAGCATGGTATAATGAATGTAAAAAATATGATTATAATAGTCATCAATCCTGTCAATCTGGAACTGGCCATTTTACTCAAGTTGTATGGAAAAATTCTCAAGAAGTTGGATTTGCACGAGCACAAGGTACATCAATGAATTTTGCTGTAGCTATGTATAATCCAGCAGGAAATTTTCTTGGCGAATTCGATAAAAATGTTTTTCCGCCACGTTAAAATTTTTATACAAAACAAATCATGTAAATATTTTTATTGCAATTATTGCAAATAATGATATAATTTATGTATTCATCTTTTTTTTTCTCATGTAACTATCGTTTAATCAAAAAATAAATAACAAGAAAAACAAATAGAGCAAAAAGTAATAGATATAAATATATTTTCCAACTGCCTGATCGAGCCAATAAGACAACACGTCGACGTGCTTGAGCAACTAAACTATCCGTATGATCCATGTTATCATGTATTTCCTAAACAAAATGAAAAAAGAAAAAAAAAATCATTTGACTATATTCAAAACTTCTGCTTATTTCAAAATGTTATGTGCTTCACTATTTTCTGAGTAATTTTCGATAGAAACACTAAAAAAAACTGCACCGTTCACCTTTAAAGAGAGAAGACTCAGTATCATCGAAATATATCGAAGTTTTTTCATTGATCAATTGTTGACTAATTAAATTTTGATATACTTCAATGACTTAAATCTTCTCTCTTGCATAGTGAAAACTGTAGGTCCCTACAATGCTTTTATTAAAAGTGATTCAAAAAACCGTAGTACATATTATATTTTAAAATAGATAGTAGACTACAATTAAAATGTTGATGTTGAACTCTAGTATCGTACATATTGTTATTAAAAAAGATTTGCTTTTGTTTCTATATTATACCGTAAATGATAAGTTGAGTCATATGGTAAAGCAAATGATCATGTCATCACATTATCAGATAGTAACACTTAGATCAAATTAAAAATTTACTGAATGAATAGAAGATTACAGAAAGAAAAAATGTCGAAATGTAAAAAAATCGAACATTATGATGATAAGAGGGTCGTTGGACTCCGATGTTTTCAACAAGAAGAAACAAACCAGGTTTAACCATGTACTAATTCAAATGAAAAGTGGTCTAGCAGCTACATCAATAGTGACTATCACAGACGCTATACAACAATAATTTAATACTCTATATTTTTGTTATGAATCGGACGATATACTGTTGATGAACTATTCGGTGAGTTACCCTTTTTGTATCACGAAAAATGCTGCATGGAAAAAAACTATAAATAATTATTTTTGTTCGTTGATTAGACTTTTCATTATTTTATTTATAATGTAAATTAGATCATAAATAAGAGGCTTTTCTCTTAGTTTTTTTAATCAATAAAATTTTATCATTGTTGAAGATCTTCATGTTAAGCATTTTTTCTTTTGAAATTTTTCTTATATATATTTTTTCTTTCTCGGTTTCTTCATCATATCAATTTATCAAATGGAATAATGTGCTAATCTAACACTATAACTGATAAAGAAAAGATTCTTGCGTTCTCATTGCACTAATTTATTGTCTGTTTTCATATTTTCGAGATAGAAAATGTTGTCTGATTCCAAGGAACTCGTAATAGCCTTTTGTTTTGCTTATATTCATCAGAACTATAACTTGCATGGTTTTCAGAAGTTTATTATACTGAGAAAAAACAAGGATAATCAATGCTAACCTTTAAATATTTATTTTGAAATTTAGTTTCTTCCCCAATTTGCACAGCCAAATGTTTAAGTTGATTCACTTTTGAATTAAGTAATTCTGTTCGTGCTTCATTTTGTTCTTCAATATACGAATAATTCGTACGTCTTGAATGTGTATTTGATTGTCGTCCATCAACCATTTTTTTTTCAAAAACTGAACATCTGCAATTATGTTTACATATATCATATCCTGAAATTTTATTCAAATTCATCATTTTCAAATTATTTTATTCAGGTAAAAAAAACACGAGAATATTAATCACTCGTATACGCCTAATAAATGAGATCAAGCAAAAATATTACTAAACAAAAGCACACAATTATCATCACAAAACACAAGTCTTTATCAAACTAGGAATGTCGTAATATTACTGTTCACAAAAAATAACGAGATAGAAGACAAGGATGGACACTCAAAACTG